CATCACTCAGGCTAGAGCCCCCTCCACGAGGCGCGCCTACGCCCTGAAGTGGAGTCTATTCACTGAATGGTGCGTCTCTCGCAGAGAAGACCCCCGAAATTGCCAGATTAGTGTTGTGCTCTATTTCCTTCAAGAGAAGTTGGACAGCAGGCTGTCGCCCTCCACTCTCAAGGTTACGTGGCCGCCATCTCCGCTTAGCGCGGTAGCTGGCGGCACCGTGGGAAAGCATAACCTGGTCATCCAGTTCCTTAGGGGTGCTAGGCGAATTAATCCATCTCGCCCCCCTCTCATGCCCTCTTGGGATCTCGCCCTCGTTCTCACGAGTCTGCGATCCGATCCCTTTGAGCCACTCGAATCAGTATCTCTAAGATTTCTGTCCCTGAAGACAGCTCTGCTGGTTGCGTTGGCCTCCATCAAGAGGGTCGGGGACCTGGAGGCATTTTCGGTCAGTGACTCGTGCCTGGAATTCGGGCCGGATTACTCTCACGTTATCCTGAGACCCCGCCCCGGTTATGTGCCCAAGGTTCCTACCACCCCCTTTAGAGATCAGGTAGTGAACCTGCAAGCGCTGCCCCCGGAGGAGGCAGACCCAGCCCTTTCTTTACTTTGTCCAGTTCGCGCTCTGCGCATTTATGTGGACCGTACTCAGAATTTTAGATCATCTGAGCAGCTCTTTGTCTGTTATGGCGGTCGGCAGCAGGGAAGTGCCGTATCGAAACAAAGATTATCCCACTGGATTGTGGATGCCATTTCACTCGCTTATTCGAGTCGAGGTCAGCCGTGTCCCCCGGGAGTACGTGCACACTCCACTCGGAGCGTTGCATCCTCTTGGGCGCGTGCACGCGGCGCCTCTCTAACAGACATCTGTAGAGCTGCGGGCTGGGCGACACCCAACACATTTGCAAGGTTTTACAATCTGCGAGTGGAGCCGGTTTCCTCAAGGGTATTAGGTAACCCTTTGGTGATTGAGGAGACAACTCGGTAGGGTGTTGAAACACGCTTGCTGCGCCATTCTCCCTAACACGGAGGTACGTGCGCCTTTTTTATCTGTCAGTAAAGTTCCCCGTCAGGTGAGCCCTGCAGATTCCTCCGTGGCCCCCAGCACTGACTCAGCGGAGGAGTCACTTGCTGGCCCACTACATTGTAGGTCTGCCCGCTGGTCAGCCCGCGTTTTGGGTATAGGTGCCTGCTATGCGTGATCCCCACTAGGCGATCCCATATGCTTATTCCGCCACGGTTAAGTCCCCCCCCTGGGCGGACCCGTGTCTTCCCTCTCCGCTAACCACTCTTTGCTATGCGTACTCCCCCTTTTTAGGGCTAGTCCATAGGTAAATTCTGCCATCTATCCCCCCCTTGGGTAACGGATGGCCTCCGCAGCGTCCTCCCTATCGGGATTGCACGCTTCCCAACGTACTGTCGTATTTCCTAGAATTATCTAGATGCTCACGACTTCCCAAAAAATATATCTAATCCGTAAAACTTCTGTTGAAGTAGGATAAATTAGGGCCAGGGACACGTTGGAGGACCGCGCCCCCCATGATGTGGGTGCGTCACGCTTGCTTGACTATCTCCTCATCGGGGGTGTTGGTAAGGTGCAGTCATTATGGCGCTTTCCATATTCTCCCATTCATGGCACTGAAGTTCCCCAACCGAAGGGGAACGTTCGAGGTTACAGAAGTAACCCTTCGTTCCCCGAGGAGGGGAACGGAAGTGCCATATTCCGTCGCCATAATGACTGTCCCTTAGCTGTTTGAAAGTCTCTTCAGCTTAAAAGGATGGCGTCTGCTGGCTTCAGGTGTGCTTATATGCTGAGATAATTGCAGATGTCGCACACCTGCGCAAGCTTACGCTGCCAATTAATTTCATTCATTGGCCCGTTCAATACTCTCCAGATAAGCGGCTTCTGATCCGAATCCTCCCATTCATGGCACTTCCGTTCCCCTCCTCGGGGAACGAAGGGTTACTTCTGTAACCTCGAACGTTTCCTGCTCTTAGCTGACAGGAGTGACACCTGGTGTGGTCTTCTGCTGCTGTAGCCCATCTGCTTCAAGGTTTGATGTGTTGTGCATTGAGAGATGCTCTTCTGCATACCTTAGTTGTAACGAGTGCTTATTTGAGTTACTGTTGCCTTTTTATCAGCTCGAACCAGTCTGGCCATTCTCCTCTGACCTCTGGCATCAACAAGGCATTTGCGCCCACAGAACTGCCGCTCACTGGATATTTTCTCTTTTTTGGACCATTCTCTGTAAACCCTAGATATGGTTGTGCTTGAAAATCCCAGTAGTTTTTGAAATACATCCTTAATGCCACATTCAAAGTAATGTAGACATGGTCAAGACGATCTGCTGCGCAAAACTTTTGAGCTTTACCAGCACTGCATTCGGCTGAATTTGTGCTCAGAATTCCTATTTTATCCCTCTATGAGAAAATAAGCTGAGATACAAATCTCTCTGAGGCCCTGGAAGATCCAGTCATACATCACAAGCGATGCAGCTGTACTTTCCGATGAGAACTTGCTTCAGAATGCAGAATTACACCCACTATAAAACAAACATCTCTCTTCCTGCATGCGCTCCTCTTTTTCTTGACCCAGTCCTCACTTTCAGTTCAGCTCTTAGGAAAAACAGTCACTTCCTTTTATCATGATGCACATTCAGGCTAGATCACTCAGCATTTACACGTCAGATTTACTAGCCGGCTGTCAGGGCTTGTTCTTCGTTTTCACAAAAAAGCTATTCTTGTTATCTTTAGTCTTATGGCGGCCTTTACAAAAGTACTGGAGGGTTATCAAATCTTATGCAGATGTTGAGAATAAGCGTGTTTTTCCCTCGGGCCCTTCTCTCTCCTGAGGCCTTGACAAAATCTCTTTCAAGAGCGACTTTATACTGAGGCTGATTTTTTGTTGTTGTATAAACTAACTGCCATATAATTTAGCTGATAACGCTGTAGAGTAATTCTCTGTAAATGAGGCAAATCTCTGGTTGTCTGATAACACGCCATGTCTGATATGTTCCCCTGACTTAAGCAGAGAGAAAAGATTGACATCAAGAGCAAGAGAGAGAGATATTTAATGATTAGATCAATTAATCATGATAAAAAAAACAATCGTCATTAATTACAAAATAACCCAGCATCACATCTCTATTCAGTCTCAAAAACATTCATTCTCGTTAATTGGAATTGTTTGTTGTTATTCTGGGTTTTAAGCATGGGCATTGCTAGACCAAATTTAAGGGGTTAAATTTCTCAACCCCTCTAAAAATGTTGTCACCTCATCCTCCCCCCTCCCTAATCTTCAACTCTAATGGTGCGGTCACACCAGACGCAGATGAAGCATCAAGTGCAAGTGATTTACATGTTAAGTCAATGCAAAGACGTGAATAGACATCCTGCGAACCGATTGATGAATAAATGAGGCGGTGCGAATGACGTGGCACGAGTTGAGCATTTTTCGCGTTTGCCGATTTGCTCGAGATGGAAAATCTGAATTTTATCAGACATTCTCGCAGTATTAACCAATCAGGAGTTTGCTCTTGTAAGGGCATTATGACATAGTGACTGTTCCTCTTGAGAAATCCTCTTGCTGGAGGATTCTGGAGAATTTTAACTCACAGAGCTTGGTGCACCTCTGAAAGGATATAGTAGACTCAGACACAGCGCCAAACGAATTTACACTGTTTTTCAGTCTTGCTAAAGCACATAAACAAAGCTATTCTCTTAATAGAATCCATGTTAACTATTTAGCAACGAAACTAGAGTCACCAGGCGGACAGAAGCCTTGACCATGATTTGAAATGTGAAGTGAATTTGATGTGCGAATGAAGTGAGTAAACTCAAAATATTTACGTGTCTATTTAGGCAAGAATAGCGTGATTTATATGCGCATGTTGCTTCTGGTGTAAACAACATTACGTAGCCCTCCCTAAAATGACACTCCTAAAATCGCCCCTGGTTTTAAGCATATTGCATAAATATAAATGAGACAGAGAGAGGAAAGGTAAAATAAAAGTTAAAAGGATTAATTCTCTAAGTTTCAAAACCAAAATCTCATTTCACCATCCTATGAAAGCTTATTAACACCAGCCGATCTTATACTTCTAGGGTCTCTGAGATAATTTCTATGAGTAAAAATCTCCAAAATGACCCCAAACCCCTTATCTGTTCATTCAGAGAGAAATCCATTTTCAAAATGTCTTCTCTGTCAACAAACAACACTGAGTTGAAAATGTCAGTAATACAGTATAAAAGGGAATTACAAACAATAAAATGCTAACACTTTTTTTTAATGTTCAATAGCTCACACCATTATCCACACATTAAATAAGGCTATTACCTCAATAAACGATCAAGTAGCAAATATTATTAAATATTTATATAAAAAAATAGGAAGGTCATTATCCAGTATACTGTAAAAAAGTTGACTCAACTTAAAATTTTAAGGTAACTTGCTGCAAAGCTTTTTGAGTTGACTCAACTTAAATCGGGTTAAACTTAACTCAACAACAACAACAACAAAAAAATGCTTTGCAGAAAGTTGAGTCAATAAATAATTTTTCTATAAATAATAGTGTGAATTGTAGCTTAAATTAAAATGTTACCAACACAATAAATAAAATAGAAAAAAGGTGCAAATAAATTAAATAATTTAGATTATTAAAAATAATAGCCTAATATACATATTTAATTAAGTAATCACATCTTTGTAAGACTTTACTTGACGGTGTGTTCTGTTATGGCACTTTTATATTAATGATATGACACATCATTATTATGGAGATATTATGCATGCTCAGTTAGACCATTTTAAATGCAAAGATGGCATTGTTTGAGAAGTATTTGTTATGACAACTTGACTTAACTATATCCCAACCTTTCAACGTCTTTGTTATGACATCTTGACCTTATCAAGACAATACAACTTGTCATAAATCCGTCATAAACATGATTGCAATGAAACCCTTCTGCAAGCTTTTAGAAATTATTAAGACCTTTTTTCTTACCTTGAAATGTTGAAGTTGAAGAACAAGTTCATCGAGCTGTCTTCTTTTGTCCTCGATCTCAGCTTGTCTTTTTCGTTTTTCCTGAAAACATAATAAAAATGTTGTGTTAAAATACTGTTAAATGACTCAGACTTAACTTTATTATCCAGTTTAGGGAAACTGAAATTGCAGCAAGGTGCTGCAACTGTCACGATCACCAGCGATCTAACATCCAGAGATCCCTGGTAAACTCACATTCACACAAACTACAAATCTGTCATGTGATGGACTACATATTAAGTCATGCTACACATTCACCTGCTCCAAGTCTCCACTGATTAGACTCTCACAGCTGATGCCGCTTTTGGGACTGATTACTGCACTACATAAGCAGCACAAACACATTCAATGTTCCCTGCATTTGGATCCTCACCTCCGTTGTCAGTGTCACATCCCCGTTACAGAAGAAAGTAGTAGTCTAATCAGTGGAAACTTGGAGCAGGTGAGTGTGTGTGTTGCATGACTTAATATGTTGTCCATAACATGGCGGATTTGTAGTTCGTGTTTACCAGCACTCTCTGGATGTTAGATCGCTGGTGATTGTGACAGCAACACAAGCGAAGTTCCATGTACACATTAATAAAATATTACCACACAACATACAATACATCATTATGTACTGTAGGTGCATCTCCCTCCCCCTGGAATGACTTAATGGCCACCATTATAAAATAATTTCTAGTTCTATTTGTCTTGATGGCAGCAGCTAAAACACAGAGTACACTGGATGATCCGGGGTGCATAGAGCTCTCTTTAAAACATAATTATGGTCAATTACCATTGGACCAGTTTGGTTAAAACCGATGATCTTGCCTGCCACCTTCACCAGGCTACTCAGCCTGTTCTTATTTGACACACTCAGATTACTGTATCAAGCTACCATGCAGAAAGAGAAAACGGATTCAATAAATAGTTTATAAAACCGTGTCATCATAGAGGTACAAACCTGAAACGATCTAAGTTTCCTCAGAACTCTTCCTCTTTGTTGAACTTTTTTTTATAGACAGCTGTTGTCAACAACGACCCCTAGATATTTATGTGTGTCAACAACTTCAATGACAAATAATGAATTCTGTGATAATAAAAAACATGGATTTAAATCAATGTTATGCCTTCATACACTCTCAGAAATAAAGGTACAGGAGCTGTCACTAGGGTGGTACCTTTTTCAAAAATACAAATTTGTACCTACAAGCTCCATATTGATACCTAAATATGTTCCTCTTAAAATTTTTAGGTACTAATATATACTTTTGAGGTACCAGCATGGATGTTTTAAGTACAAATGCGTACATTTTGAAAAGGTACCACCCCAGTGACAGTTTGCGTACGTTTATTTTTGAGAGTGCAGATGCTTGTTGACAATTAAGCTTGCATCAAATCAATGTAACCCCGTCCAGAAGCATTTTCAGGATTTCTTCACATTGTTTTGAGTTTTTTTTGTTACATTAGCTAAGGAAAGCATTTTAGCTAGGAAAACAAAGAAATCCGTTTACTGTAGCTATTCATATCTAAACACTTAAGCAGCTGTTTCACTGCTGACGTCAAGAAAACAGGAAGTCATTCATCTCCAATAAAGAGTTGCACGGGGACAGAAATAAAGTTGTTTATCATGGCAAATACTGTTGGGTGTGTTGGAAATATGGCTGATGTGAGAAAAGTTGGTAGCAGTTTTTATGTTACAGAACATATACTTAACGTACCGAGTTATTTAAGGTTACTAAATGAATTCCCTGCTGAAAAATCCAGCTTAAACCAGCCTAGGCTGGTTGACTGGTTTTAGCTGGTTGACCAGGCTGGTTTTAGAGGGGTTTTGGCCATTTACAGGCGGGTTTCCAGCTATTTCCAGCCTGGTCTTAGCTGGTCAGGCTGAAAAATGACCTGCTAAATCCAGCTAAAACCAGCTTGACCACCTTGGTTTAAGCTGGATATAGCTGGTTTTGGCTGGGCTCCCAGCCTGGCTAGGCTGGTCAAGCTGGTTTTAGCTGGTCATGTCCCAGCCTGACCAGCTAAGACCAGGCTGGAAATGGCTGGAAACCAGCCTGGAAATGGCCAAAACCCCTCTAAAACCAGCCTGGTCAACCAGCTAAAACCAGCCAACCAGCCTAGGCTGGTTTAAGCTGGATTTTTCAGTAGGGTTAAGATTAGGTTTAGGGGTTTAGTGATGGTACCAACTTAGTACATAGTTGAAGTATTAACTACATAGTTTATATACGTGAAACTGAACAGTAATGATAAAATACAAAGGGTGGTTTCAATGCTATAGTGCTAAAGTTAGCATGTTCCCAGATCTCCTACTGCACCTTTAACAAAAGTAAAGTAAATCAAGAAAGCTAGTACGCATGGGCCACAAAGTGTTGGTGAAATAACGAATGATCTAGTGTCATAAGGTTTTTTATTTTCATCTATTTGGTGTGTGCGCTCATGACTTAGCTTTGGACAGCAGAAAGGGTCGTGCATTTTCAATGCCATAATGCTAAGTTAGCATTTTCACAGATCTCCTACTGCACCTTTAATATAAGTAAATCAAAAAAGCTAGTATGCATGGGCCACAAATTGTTGATAAAATAACACGATCTAGTGTTTTATTGTTCATCTATTCGGTGTGTGCATTCGTGACTGCTGTGGAGAGCAGAGAGGGACATGCATTTTCAATGCTATAGTGCTAAAGTTAGCATATTCCCAGATCTCCTACTGCAATCAAGAAAGCTAGTATGCAAAGGCCACAAGTTGTTGATGAAATAATACATGATTTAGTGTCCTAAGGTTGTCTATAGTCATCTATTCTGTGTGTGCGTTCATGACTTTGCTTTGGACGACAGGGAGGGATGTGCCTTTTCAATGCTATAGTGCTAAAGTTAGCATGTTCCCAGATCTCCTACTGCACCCTTATTATAAGTAAAGTACACCAAGAAAGCTAGTATGCATAAGCCTTTAAGTGTTGATGAAGTAACACATGATCTAGTGTTATAAGGTTGTCTATGGTCATCTATTTGATGTGTGTGTTCATGACTTTGCTTTAGACGGCAAAAAGGGGTGTGTTTTAAATGCTATAGTGCTAAAGTTAGCATTTTCCCAGATCTCCTACTGCACCTTTAACATAAGGAAATTAGTTCAAGAAATCTATTCGATGTGTGCATCATGACTTTGCTTTGGATGGCAGAGAGGGATGTGCCTTTTCAGTGCTATAGTGCTAAAGTCAGCATTTCACAGATCTCCTATTACAATCAAGAAAGCTAGTATGCATAGGCCACAAATTGTTGATGAAATAACACATGATCTAGTGTCATAAGGTTGTCTATGGCCATCTATTTGGTATGTGTGTTCATGACTTTGCTTTGGACAGCAGAGAGGGACGTGCGTTGTCAATGCTATAGTGCTAAAGTTAGCATTTTCATAGACCTCCTGCTGCAATCAAGAAAGCTAGTATGCAAAGGCCACAAATTGTTGATGAAATAATACATGATCTAGTGTTTTAAGGTTGTCTATAGTCATCTATTTGGTGTATGCGTTCATGACTTTGCTTTGGACGGTAGAGTGGGTTTTCAATTTCTTTAATGCTATAATGCTAAATTTAGCATGTTCCCAGATCTCCTCCTGCACCTTTATTATAAGTTAAGTACACCAAGAAAGCTAGTATGCATAAGCCTTTAAGTGTTAATAAAGTAACACGTGATATAGTGTCATAGGGTTGTCTATGGTCATCTATTCGATGTGTGTGTTCATGACTTTGCTTTGGACAGCAGAGAGGGATTTGAGTTTTCAATGCTATAGTGCTAAAGTTAGCATTTTCCCAGATCTCCTACTGCACCTTCACCAAAAGTAAAGTAAATCAAGATAGCTAGTATGCATGGGCCACGAATAGCTGGTGAAATAACACATTACCCTGCTGAAAAATCCAGCTTAAACCAGCCTAGGCTGGTTGGCTGGTTTTAGCTGGTTGACCAGCCTGGTTTTAGAGGGGTTTTGGCCATTTCCAGGCTGGTTTCCAGCCATTTCCAGCCTGGTTTTAGCTGGTCTGGCTGGAAAATGACCATCTAAATCCAGCTAAAACCAGGTTTAAGCTGGACATAGCTGGTTTTGGCTGGACTCCCATCCTGGCTAGGCTGGTCAAGCTGGTTTTAGATGGTCATCTCCCAGCAAGTTTGTCTTTGGTTATGTAATCGGTGTGTGCATTCATGACTTTGCTTTGGACGGCAGAGAGGGACGTGCATTTTCAAAGCTATAGTGGTAAAGTTAGCATTTTCCCAGATTTCCTACTGCACCTTTAACATAGGTAAATCAAGAAAGCTAGTATGCATAGGCCACAAAGTGTAGGTGAAATAACACTGTATGGTTCAAGGAAGCATAAACAAAGTGCCAGCAAAAAGTTTGTCCACACCTTTTAATGCCATCTTTCAAATAACGAAATGACATCATAATCCAAGCCCCACAGGTTTGCTCTCTGCAGATGATTTAATTCTTACTCCCTTTACATGACCACAGAAGCCCACAGAGGGAATCTGAGCCACATATGTGGGTTATTCGGCTTTGTTGAGCGTGCGCTCACATATCTTGGCTCTCTTTGACACAATTTCATGAGCACATTCCAGCACTGAGCACTGCTGCAGTGAGTCTGGTCCCCTGTGAGCTCAGACAAGGGAAACAACTGATATGCTATCCAGATGTGAACAAATGGGCCTCTAAAAAAAATGGACCCTTAGACTTCTGTCAGTGAACGATGCCACTGGATTTTACATGAACGCTAAAAGGAACTGACTGAGCTGAGAACTGTGGTGACTCGAGCGTAGTTACTGATTGTGACATGTGACTGTGGAGTCTTAAAGGGGACCTATTATGAAAAATTGACTACTATAAATGGTTTATACATAGTACGGTTCTAAGGCCCTTGGCATGTGGCCTCGAGCCATTGCATGCCTCCCACCAGTGCCAATATACAGCTATATCGCACTGCTAGAAGTGTGATAATGTTTATACACATACACACACACTGATATGCTGCAATGACTCCTTTAACTACGAGATCAGTGTAGCGAATTTTG